TATATATATATATATATATATATATATATATATATATATATTCTAATCTGTTAGATGGAAATTAGTCGAATTAATTTTACATTGTAATCAGTTTAGAACATGTTACCGTCACATACGTTAATGTATATATTTTGCAGGCTCCACAACATTCAGGATCGACATACTACAATTACAAAGGCAGTCATAGCTTAGTATTATCATATGTGATGCAAATTACAAATTCATCATAGTTGACATTGGCGCTGAAGGACGTCAAAGCGATGGAGGAATATTTAAAAAATCATCAATTGGGCAGGCATTAATTAACGGAGAAGCTGATATGCCACCAGCTAAACAAATTTACGAGGATGGTCCTGTACTACCGCATGTTTTGATAGGCGACGAAGCATTTCCATTGACGACTTATATGATGCGTCCATATCCTGGAAGAGGCGGATTAAGTGTGGATCAATGAATTTATAATTATCGATTAAGCAGGGCACGGAGAATGATTGAGAGTACATTTGGCATTCTTGTGTCACAATGGAGGATTTTTAGAAAACCGATAATTGCGAATGTAAAAAATGTACATAAAATCATTGAGGCTTGCGTTTGCTTGCATAATTTTATACAGGATGCGGACAACGCCGATGATGAAACTGGCGAATTAGAATTCAGTGATGATACAATGAGCAATTTAGGTGGAATGCAAAACATATGTCGTCTTGGATCAAATACGCATTCACGCGAAGCTGCTCGTGTAAGAGATGAATTTATGGTATATTTCAACAAAGAAGGTGCTGTTGATTGGCAGTTATTAAAAATTTAAAACAAAATGTCAACAATTAGTTAAATTATTTTATAAATATATATTTATTATCTTTAGAATTGTACGAATTTAGTAATTTTAAAGTCGAGTTCGATCATTGTCATGAAATTCAAAAAGATAATTTTGTAAAATAAATTTGAGATGAAATGTTATATAAAATATATTTGTATTATATTACTTAATATACATTTTACTTAATACATATTCCTTCATTTTTTAAATAATTTTTGACAATATTTTTTATTTGTAAGAGTTTTCGCGTGAATATAAAAATGTAAGTAATTCTAAAATATAGTGATGTCTCTTTGAAAGAGGTATTCTGTTTAACGCTGCCCGAACTAGTCCTATCACGTTTTCTATCTCATCGTTCTGCGGTCGCATAGCAGGTAATGGTGGTAAGACAAGTTCAGGCGGTGGAGGTAGAGGTGCATCCAACAAAGAAGTGAGTTTTGCTAATATTGTTTCGTTTGACTCGGATGAGCGACCTGTAACAATGTTTATATTATGCCAAAAGTCGAAGTTGGATTATTTTTTATTTATAATTAAAAGTTAAAATACCCTGGCGAAATTATTATTTTTATTATTTTTTTTTATTAGCACGTTATTAATACGTATAACAAAGGGATATTTTTGTCATATGCGCACATATAGATTTTTTAACTAAGAATTCAGTTATTTGTCAAAAAGTTGTATTAAGTGCACATTCAGATTGTTAGAACGAAGGAAAGTTATTAAAATTTTTTTTAAATCTGTATATAACTTACTATTACGTGCTAATTCAAAAGATATTTTTGTCATATGCGCATAGATTTTAAAAAAATTTCAATACAACTTTTGTTCGTTCTAACAATCCTTCCTCAAACCCTGCAAAAAATGAAAATATGGACTTACGTTTCTTTTTTGCCTCTGTTTCTGATACTGACGAAGATGAACTGGTTGATGCAACCGAATCATCATTGTACAGTTTTAATATTGATACATTGGAACTTCTTCTATAAATAATAGACAAAATACATAATTAAAAATACATTATTCATTTACAAACAATATGTTATATGTATGATTTTATTATTTACTTTCTATTCTCGATGAAGAGATCTTTAGTGAAAGCCATCATTTCATAGTATGGCCATTTATTTTTTTTCATTCCACTACCAGCTGAACCGCTTTTCTTGCTATTGCTCTATTAAAATTCGGCTGTAATTGTAACGAAGTTTTTTCCATATATTCTTGGCCTCATTAACATCTTTGATGTTACCTAAGGAAAATTGCAAACTAATTATTGTTTCGAGAATATTTTATATGAAGAAATACGATTGTGCTTGACTAACATACCATTCATAGCAGACACTACCTCCTCCCATAATATCTGAATAATACTCCTGCCCCTTTCGGTAACAGGAATTTTAAAATTCCATAAGGCTTCTCGCTTTTGGACTTCGCTAATCAACATTTCATTCCTAAGAATCTCGGTCAATGGTTCATCATGAATTTCATTTGGGTCGACAATCATACCATTATCTGCAAAAGTGTATCTATACAGTATGTCCTCGAATATAATACGCTATATAAGTATGCTCTTGAATATAATTTATATGTCAATAATCATTTTTAATAATTGCGATACAAAAGATAAAAACTTACCAAGCTGTGGATATATGTAGCCTGCATCATCAACATGGATTTTAGTATATCCTTTGTAACACTCATGGTCCATTACAATGTCAATATCTATTGCTGTGTCACATAATGCACAAATGTTTTCCTACAAGAAGAAAATTTACATGTTAA